TATATATATATATATATATATATATATATATACGTATATATACAGGTGCATCTCAATAAATTAAAAGAACCAAAGACTTAAACTACTTCAGTCTGTGTGCATTGAATTTATTTAATACACGAGTTTCACAATTTGAGTTGAATTACTGAAATAAATGAACTTTTCCACAACATTCTAATTTATTGAGATGCACCTGTATATATATAAAAATATAATAATAACTTTTTAAATATTTAAATAGCTACTGCTCAGTAATATTTGAAAAACGTATGTCCACCAAATCAAAGGCAAAAAATAAAAAAAAACATAAAAACAGGAAATTGTCACAGAGAGGAACATTTTATGACAAATATCATTTTTAGAATTATTAAAAGTAACTTTTGTCAAAATTGTCAAAAATTCATTTTTCAAAATCAACCATGAATACAAAGAGTTGATTTCTAAGAGCACTGTGCACACGTGTTTTAAACTAGATCCCCCGCCCCCCGTTTTTTTTTTTTTTACCATGGACACTTTTATGTGAATTTCACTACCTCTCCATAGGCATGTCACTCTTGCAATGGCGGCATAAATAATTCAGACAACAGGATGAGAAAAGTATGTTACCTCATGTCTAATCATACTCACAGCTTTGTAGCGCACTAGATAGTGTTTGATGGGAGAGCCCCCATCGTCCTGCTTGATCCAGTGGACCTTCATCTCGTTGTCTGTGGACAGTGGCTTAGCCTCCAGTTTAGGAGGATTAGGTTCCCCTGAGGAGAAAACAGCCAGAAAAAACACTGTTAGAAGATCCTCGCACAGATTAAAAATGTGTCCTAACCCAGCCACATTTCCACAGGTGAATGTCCCCTCATCCTTTAACAGCTGATTTGTAATCCACAAGGTATTCTTTATCTCTAAATATGAACTGCAGAAATAGGTTAGCTAATCAAACTCCTGGCTAATTTTAGCTCATAATTCATTTACAGTGTTGACCCAGCTGGGAGAATTTAAAAGGAAATTATATGGTTGTGTATGGTCTAAACTAAGCAAAAAAAAACTTTTTTTTTAAACTAACGATCAAAGAAAGAGACGTAACACTTTATGGTTGAGTCACTTTGCAAAGTCTCAATTCCTCTGTTCTCGTTTTTGGCTAAACTGTCAAGACATCTCATTGCACAGGTTTTTTGGCAGTATAATGATGACTTCTGCCTTCCATCCTCCAAACGTGGAACATTAATGAAAGCACTTGGCTCTTGTAAACGTGGAGCTGAGTCGCTTGGGCATGTGGAGGGCTGTAATGAGAGCTGGACCTGTGTTGGTGGCAGTGATGGAGGAAGAGAGCGGCACTGTAATGCAGTCTCTGGGGGAGCTCGTTATCTCGACTTGCCCACTACTTAATGACAGAGCTCCCTTAATTATCCTCCATGCTTTGATTGGAGATTCTCAGCCATTATATTTAATAATATCAGCGGGCTGAAGGGGGAGGGATATACGCATGTGTGGGCGCTTGTTTGGGATGTTAGCTGTCTACCTGTGTCACTAGTGAAGCCTAGGAGGAGACCACAGTGCTCTGCTCCCATTAATCATCATAAATAGCATCTCGACAAGTGCTCCTATTAGGACCTGATGTGACACTGTGTATATACACCACCAAATGAAACATGACGAACGAGATTAATTTTAGGTCAAGGCAATTGGATATTTGAATGTTTGACCAAAAACATATAATGAACAAGTTAAATTTGATGTTTTGGATTCAGTTCTGCTTATACGTTTACATTCTCCTGGCAGAATCTCCAAGATAGTTAACATATTATTTTGCAAAATAACATGGATCATAAAAATTATATATATATATATGTATTTTTTTTTATTTTTAACAAATACTGTATAATATAATATAATACAATACAATACACTACAGTTCAAAAGTTTAGGGTCAGAAAGATTTTTTTTAAAGAAATTAATACTTTTACTCAGCAAGGATGCAATGAATTGATCAAACATAAAAGTAAAGGCTTTAAAAAAAATGATATAATTATAATGCTTCAAAAGATTTTTCAAATGAATGCCATTCGTTTGAGTTTTCTATTCATCAGAGTCCTGAAAAATCAGGGTTTGCACAAAAATATTAAGGAGCACAAATGTTTTCAACACTGATAATAAGAAATGCCCAACCAAATCAGCATATTAGAATGACTTCTGAAGGATCATGTAGAGGCTGGAATAATGGCTGCTAAAAATTATATATTAAAATAGAAAACAGTTATTTTAAATTGTGACAATATTTCAAATTTTTTACTATTTTACTGTATTTTAGAGAACTTAAGCGACATCTTTCAAAAACATTAAAAACCCTTACAGACTACAAACTTTTGAACAGCAATATAATATAATAATACTATCCACAAAACAACTGAATTTACAGAGTTGACCTGTTCAAAAGTTAACATTCTTGGTTCCTGCTCTTGTATGACTTGAGCATCAATGACATTTTGTAAGCTTTTGTGATAGTTTTGGTTTGTGAAGTTAAGCGGCCCACTGTTCTCCAAGTTCTGTAAGTTCTTTGGTTTCCCACCATACTCTGCATATTTGAGTTGTTCTCTGCATATTTGAGTGGCTTCATGATGTTTTGTCACGTAAGACAATACCAAACTATAATAAAAGGCTTCAAACAGTCTATCAAACCGATCATTTGTGTAAATTAAGTTACCATTTTTTCTTGGGGAAAAGATAAAAAAAACAAAAAAAAACCTTTTATAGCTCCTCCAGGCAAGTACTAAATACAAAATACCGATTCTGCAAAGGGTATGCAAAGTACGTAAACTTGAAACCGTAACCCTCTATGTATATGTTTGTTCTGGTCTCATATCTTGATAAATCTCTTCATAGTCTTCTGTTATTAAGCTTAATTTAAGTTAGAGGCATTTTTGAAACTTTCAGACCATCAGGCAGTTAGTTTCAGCATGCATGAAAATAGAGGCCCAAGGTGTTTCCTTCGAGATAAATTGAAGCTTGATTAAAGTTTGTAATCAGATGCTGCAATTTAAATGAAAACAAGTTAATTTAAGACAAGCAGTGCAAGAGTGATGGCAGTTAAACAGGTTTTCTGAGATCCAGTCATCATTTCCAGTTAGCTGAAGGACTTCCAGATGCTAAGAAAGCAAAGAGGGACAGAGTTAGGGTTACAGAGAGAAAGAGGGCAAACATGCGCTACCATGCAGAAGGAGGATTTGATTACAGGGTCATGGATTATTGTGCCACTCGATCATGACTAATAATGACTGCTATCCTATCTTGACAAATTTCAGGAATAGCAACTGAGAGATACTACAGAAAAAATGACAGAGACAGTATCTCATCTCAAACCAAGTGTGTCATTAAAAATGTTTGGGTAGGAGAAGAGAGAGTAGAAGCATTTTCTTGAAATACGAGGAAGTGAAGCTCTTCCTCTTTCCATTTCCATATTGGAACAGCACACAGGGACAGTGAGCAGGTTCAAAGAGTACAATTAGGACATGCATGAGAGGCTTTGAGTATGCAGACTGAGACAAGAGACAGAGAACAGAAGTGTGTTTGAATGTGTTCATGCAATTAGCTGTTGTTAGTCTTTGTGATATAGCACAATTTATCATATAAAGCACATTTATGATGTGCAAATGAATGAGGGGATGATGATTGTTCTTTATAATGATTTGTACAAAAACAAGTGAAAAGGATGTCTTTTTTAATAAATGAGTTTGTGAGGTGTCAAAAACCTCTCATTATTTTTATTTTATTTTTTTCGTTAAGCAACACTCTTAAAGCAATAGTTTACCCAAAAATTAACATTTGTTGAAAATGTACCTGCCCAAGATGTAGATGAGTTTGTTTCTTTATTGGAAACGTTTTGGAGAAATGTAGCATTAAATCACTTGTTTACCAATGGATCCTCTGCAGTGAATGGGTGCTGTCAGAACAAAATTTTAAACAGCTAATAGAAACATCAAAATCATCCACAAGTATTCCACACAACTCCAGTCCTTCAATTAACATCTTGTGAAGTGAAAAGCTGAGTGTTTGTAATAAACAAATCCATCAAGAAGTTTTTTAATTCAAACCATTGCTTCTGGCTAAAATACAAGTCCTCTGTCCAACATATTGCTTTCTCTGATGGCACCCATTCACTGGCATAGGATTCAATGGTGAGCAAGTCAGGCAAAATTTATCAAAATCTCATCCGATGAAGAAACAAACTCATCTTCATCTTGAATGGCCTGAGCGTAAGTAAATTATCAGCTAATTTTCTTTTTTTTGGGGGGGTGGGGGGGGTGGGGGGGGTTGAACTATTCCTTAAAGATAGATATTGTTAACAAAAAAAGGAAATTTTCTTAAAAAGTTACATCATTTATTAAAAGAAGAGTTGGAGTGGGAGGGTAGAAATTACTTCTACATCAGTCACTGTAAAACATATATTGAAAATCAATAAAAAGTTGAACATGCAGAGCACCTAGCAGTATGTGTAGGAGACTAAGCTTTGGGATTACTGTCTAGGCAGAGTGGCTCATGGTTTTCAAATAGCCAAATAAAGTAAGTTGTGTGAGGTTTCTGAAGGATGAATGACTCAAAAAATGAAATGGCTCATAAATCCTGATGGTACTGGGTGGGTGTTTCCTCTATCGTCCCCTCATTAACTTATCTGTTCTCACTGTTAATGGGAATTGGACCAAAATAAAAAAACAAAAGCGAAAGCAAAAAAAAACAACAACAACATAAAATCAACAAAATATTACCTTCTGTTCACCAGCGAAGACGACATCATCAGCACCATGCAAGAGTCATAAGTCACATGATATGCACGCACATGATTGGTGGAAAGGAAAGTGGAGGGGGGGGGGTCACATGGAAAATACAAAACATTGAAAAAAATTATACAAACATGGAACGTGTTAAGACCAAAAAGTACAAACAGAAACACAAACAACAAAAGAAAACAAATTATAAACATAAATACTTCTCTTTAACATTAGATACAGTGTGTATAGATCCATAAAGCAATTCCTGGACAGGTTTTTATTAATTTTTTTATTTTTTATTTTTTAAAACACAAATACAAATCAAAGTACTTACAAAAAAAAATCTGCCCTATACCAGCTCTCCTGAAGCCCATTTAAACTATGAGAGTTAGAATAGGGTCCAAATTGCTTTATGAATCCACTTCACCAGCAGTATTTCCTCTGACTGCAAGTGGTACTCTTGATAAGAGGATTCTAATACAGCTCTCTTGCACTGTACATTGAATTATAAATGCTTGTGCAGACTGAATAGCATCAATAGGGCTGCAAAACCAACTGAAACAGAGCAGGGCAGCCAAAGGCAGAGGAAACTCAGTGATGTTGACCGTACAGATAGAAACCTGCCTCATCTACTGGACATGAAGCTGGATGCTACAGAATGGGCAAATGAGAAGCATTAGGGCAGAGACTGCCCATGTGTACGAAGAGTCCGGGACAATACCATGAAATGTTGATCCAGAATTATTCATCAGGATGGAAAACAAAAATTGACCCTAGATCAGCACTTTCAGTCTGAGACATTTATGTATATGTGCTCAGGACTGTAGCTGAGAAGGGTGGAGGAGGCTAAAGACAAGGAGCAGTGTTTTCCATCACAAACTAGAGGTCTGCAGTCTACAAGTAAAATACTAGATATGATGCCAAATGTAAACCTTCAGACACTTAAGTTACATGTAAAAATGCTTAAACTAAAGCCTCCTGGAAGCCGCACTGTATAAAAGCATCTGCTAAAATAGGTTTCCATACAAAATTTGAGAGTGAGGAAAAAAAACCCTACAATATTTATTTTAACAATAAAAATGAAAAAATAAATGCGCTTTTTTGAAGGGAAATTAAATCTACATTTTCTTCTTCCTTGCAATGCACTTACTTTCAAGAATAGTTCTATATGCAGTATAGCTACATAACATGTAGTATTCTAATGAGTTTCTAAAGAACTTCAGGCTAAATAAGGAGTGTTTAAGTTTGCAATCTGAGACAGATAACTGTACTAAAACAATAGGCACATTACATATACAAATATGCACTAACATTCACATTCACTTTGAAGCCATTTGAAATGAGTGTCTATAAACCACCAGGGTTCTTTATAAACTGTAGCTGTCAAGTAATTTAGAAAGTCTGAAATCTTCATGCTGATTATGACTCATTATCATACAAAAGAACAGATCTTTTGTTTACTTATCTACTCATACAACCCTAAAAAACGCTATTATATTTTAATTTCTTTGACATCTGAGCAAGTTTTAGTTTAGTGCAATCTTAAAGCTGCCAGTCAATGTCAACTAAGAAGACAATAGTCAAAAAACTGCCTACTTCTAAGATTAAGACCCTGTCATTTCTCTGACTGAATGAGACAGAATAGCTGTCTCCCGAAAACCTTTTCAGACCCTCCCAATTAGCGGTCTGTTTGTCGAGAGATCAGGTGTAATCTGTGCTGTCATGGTAACTCTATTTTCAGACTAAACGCTTGGTGGCGTCTCTCGCAGGATAGTGGGAAGTGAGAGAGCATGTTTGAGTGTTTAGGATAAAACATTTGTTTGTATACAAACAGACGAGACATACACAGATGTAAGATGTCTGTTGTTAATTTGGTGATTGCACAAGTTTGTCTATTTGAACCATGAGACCTTGTGCACTTAAACACAGGTTGTTCCATACTGATGGCTGCTTCATGGCAAATCTCTTCTGATAAAAGCATCTGTGCTTGCATCTCTGAGGGATGTCATGCACTCCCAAGAATGCTAAAGTTGACAATTTTGCTTAATTTTCTGAAGACAGCGCCATTAGTTTCCACATTCGTGACAGTATGCAACACGTCTCATTAATATCTCAGAGAGCACAATAGGAGAACTGCATGTGTCATGCTGTTTCTACAATTTTCTGCACATCCAATGGCATAAAAATCAGCACACATCATGAGTTTATAAACCATTAACTATTAGCACAAAAAAGCATGTCGGTTCATGTCATATTCCTGTATGTATTGTATACCATGCAGTGACATGTTAGACAGGTGAGCTGGTCTACAAGCGGATGTTAGTGATGGTTCTCTACCAAGGCTTGAGGGTCATGAGCACAATCCCAGTGTCTCACTTCCCCCGCCCTCACTAACATCTACACGGTCTCTCTTCTCTATCACAGACATGTGTTGTCGGTCTACTGTGAACGTCAGCGGTGTTGACTTCAGGAACAATGGTCTAGGTGAGGCGAACAAATGTGTAGCAGGCAGATAAAGAGTGGCAAACGACACTGCACACAGTCGGCATACTCACTAAGGTCGGCAGTGGTTGGAGGGATGGAAGTTGGAGTCTCTGAAGACGCTGGAAGATGGTGAGAACATGGTGAGATGTGCTTCCGTTGTGCCGCACTGATTGCAGAGCCACTGCTGCAACAGTTTCATAGCAACTAACTAGTGTACATCACACCGCAGCAACATTCAACGAGTCCAGGCAGAAGTGCATGCGACCCAAATAAAAAGTGCCTCAGTGTAGAGTATACTATATGTTCAAAGGTGAACACGAAGGGTGTTACTGGGATGCCCTCTGGATCAGAGTAATGACAAAAGTTATGTGCATGGCAAAATTGTATTTGAAATTATTCAATCTTATTAGACTTTAGTCGTTCAGTTGGATATGTGGCATGGGTAACGAAGTCTAATGAGAAGTAGTAAATTAAAATGATGCCAAACAGAATGCCAAACATTTTAATTGCACAAAACAAACATCACAATTTTTATTAGTTCAGTAATCAGTAATGCTGTTCTTTTGAACTTTCTAGAATATTGAAAAAAAAAATTACTTTTATGGATCTCGGATCCAAACAACTGTTTTCAACATGTTTGTTAAGCACTAAATCAGAAAATTAGAATGATTTCTGAAGGATCATGTGACACTGAAGACTGGAGCAAGTGCAGCTGAAAATTCATCTTTGCCATCACAAGAATAAATTACATAAAATATATTAAAATAGAAAACAGTTATTTTAAATGGTAAGAATATTTCACAATATGCTGTCTTGATGAGCACTTTTAAAAACATAAAAAGAAAACGAAAAAAAAAGAAAATCTCACCAACTTCAAACTTTTGAACAGTAGATTAGAATGATTTCTGAAGGATCATGTGACACTGAAGACTGGAGCAAGTGCAGCTGAAAATTCATCTTTGCCATCACAAGAATAAATTACATAAAATATATTAAAATAGATATAATATATTAAATATATATATATATATCTCAATATCAAACTAAGTAATTAATCAAATGAATGTACCTAACCATCTTTTACACATATCTTGAGAGAGCAACACAAGCTGATTTCAAGTGCAAAGAACATATAGATGACACCATCACTCCTAGCAAGAGAACAACAACATTTCAAAGAACAGCCACTTTTGGAAAATGCACAAACAATTTAACGCTTATGACGACAGTTGATAACATTCCACATATTACTGGGCTCCGAGACACACATAATAACCTGTATTTAAATGGCATGGTTGACAGAACTGAGCCGTGACAGTACAGATGTCTCAAGCCGCAAGGACACCACTCGATTCAAAGCGCGATATTTTCCTGGAAGTGCATTAGTGCCAGAGACTTTCACCTTCAATATACCCTCATCTATCTAATCTGAGAATGCTGGCTTTCACTGAACTGAACCTCAGAGCCTTGGAGTTAAACGATAAGCACTTTGAGTGGAAGACAGTGATATGATGGAGGCAAAATATGCCCTATTTACTCTTTTAAGCTTAACGCAATTAGGCAGAGGCGCAGCCTGTTTGTGAGCCGAGTGTCTGACAGATGACAGACTATGTTAGAGTTTCAAAGACTGTTTGACTGAAGAGAGCCGAGCTTCTGTCTTTTAATCTCTTTCTTTCTGCACCAGTTGTGAATATATTTCAAGGAACTTGTAGATACTTGGTGACAAAGGGAGCCTGAAGTGCTAACAGCATCGTCAGCTAGTCCTTGGAGGATTAAAAGGATAGTTCACTCAAATATGAAAATTCTGTCATCATGTATTCACCCTTGTGTTGATTCAAACCCGTATGAACCCCTTCTTTCTTTCGTGGAACACAAAAGCAGAAATTTTAATTATGTACTGGTTGTGCTTTTCAGATGGGGACTGGAGCTTTGAAGTCGTCAAAAGGCCATAAAAGCATAATAAAAGAATCATAAAAAGTCATACAATACTTTTTGATGAACAGACAGAAACTTATTAACTGAAAATCAAGTGAGTTGTTAACCACCACAGCAGAATCAATGATTCAGTGAGTTGAACTCGAGAATTGGATCAGTATGATTTAATGAAAAGATCTGACTCAAAAGAACGATTCATTCCCAGTCACTACTCTAATGAATGGGTCAAGGAAAGCTAAGCTGCAAGTCAATATATTTCATGTAAATAAAATACTACATTTTGGCCTGTTCGTAACATAAAGCAATTATAATATTTCAGAAGTCATACAGACCACTTTTATTATGCTTTTGCACCTTTCTTGGACTTGAAAGCACCAGTTCACATTCATAGTAATTGCACTAAAAAGAGTGACCACATTTTTTAAAAGTACCCCACTTATGCAGAAGAAATAATGTTATACAGGTTTGGAACGACTTGAGGGAGAGTAAATGATTTTCATTTTTGGGTGAACCATCCCTTTAACACCACAGTGATAAAAGAATTTAGATTTATTTTAGCTTCAAGACAATATTAACAAGCTCAGATCTTTCTTCTCTCTGATTTCCAGTGTTATAACTTGCACACAACTAGTCACTGCAGGCTTATTGATCTCACAAAACACTGATCTGTTCTACAATTTGGTCTACTGCTCTGCAGATGAAAAAATACATGCTAAAATGGAACTGTATCACAGAGCAGAGGCCGAGGTTCAAAGCACACAGAGCGTCTCAGACAGAGAGGAAAATTGCTCTGCTGAATAATAAGGATTATCATATTGTAAGTGTTGCATGTCAAGGGGAATGAAGGGGTGTTAATGCCGTTGCAGCAGTGATCACAATTAAAGCACTCCAGAACTCTACCTGAGGATGTGGACCATCTGCTAGTTCGCTGGCCTGTGTCTCTATCTGTGAGAGATGTATTCACCTGCACTGATGCAGATAAACCACTGAGAACCACCAGATGTGCAAGGCAATAGATCTAGTTTAAACCATCTCTCAGGGGTACTAAATAAGTGAGCACAATCTGATGAAGTGCCACGTAAACTGTTTTACAGTCTATGTTCTGTGCCCCATTATGATTGCATTAAGTGTTATTAAAGAGGTTTGGTTGTACAAGTTGGGTTGTATTTGAGATAGAGTCAATACAGTACAGATGACTGTAATGTTTATGTGTGAAAACTGATATGCAGAACTGATTTTAATTGTTTTATTTCTTCTTTTTGACAACAATAACTATGATAATGATCATTAGACTACAACTTTAAAAGCATAATATTCAAAATGAATTACTGCTAAAAAATATTAGTAAGTAGTACTTTTGTTATTTATTTGCAATTATTTGCAAGCATTATTTGGGCTGTTATGCTAAATTATTTTCGCTGTTACTGTTACTTAAGTTGAAACGAAACGAAACGAAACGAAACAAAACATACATTGTATGTTGCTTACTGTGAAATTCCTTCCTTGTGTTTTTTCACACACTTTGACTTTAACATTAGGTTCTAAGTTGACCTCTTTTATGTTTGTAAACCTACTATTTTCAGATCAGAGGCCATTTCCACTGCAGGTCTCCATAGGTACAGTCCCTGCTGCGGTGCTCTCTGATACTTTGCGGTCCGTGGTGATCGCATTCATATGAAAGAAAGGCTCTGTCAGTGGAGTCTACATGCTCTCTGGAAGCGGGGTGACCTGTGCACAGGCTAGCCATCAGAAAGCCTTGCACACAGTCATGGAAAGAGTTCCTATTTTTCGCTGTGAATATTTTAGCTGTCACCTGAGATGACCCTACCGCAGTGAGCTGCAGAGGCAGCATTATCCATCAGAAAATTCCCAGAGGTGTCCATCAATCCTGCCTCTATCGCTTATGTGACAGGCCTAGCTAGCTTTGTCATCACTCCATCTCCATACACAATCCCAACCTTTTCATTCACGCTCATAGCACATAAAATGGAGAGGGAGCTCTCATGCTTTGAATCACTGGTCCCTGCAGCACATACCACAGTAATGTGAATTATATAGTGCTCTTTTACAATTTCCACAGGCTGTGGAGGCCAGAGGCACGGATCCCTGCTCTTGAGGAGAAATATTTTCAGTCACGGTACTGGCAACAACGTCTTTTGTGTCATTGTCTTCCTCTTCCTCTGGCGCTCTGGGCACTCTACACTCTTAAAAATAAAGGTGCTTCACGATGCAATAGAAGAACCTTTTTGTCTAAATGGTTCCATAAAGAACCTTTAACATCTGAAGAACCTTTCTGTTTCACAAAAGGTTCTTTGTGGCGAAAGAAGGTTCTTCAGATTATAAAAAGGTAAGAAAGAGATGGTTCTTTAAAGAACCTTTGACTGAATGGTTCTTTGTGGAACCAAAAATGGTTCTTCTATGGCATCGCTTGAAGAACCTTTTGAAGCACCTTTATTTTTAAGAGTGTATTGGCTGAGACTGTGGAATGGCCTGTGGTGATAAATCTCTGACACGCACCTGAGAGCACTACCGTACATCTTATTTGAAGCTCCATCAACGTCAAACTACGCCACTCACTGCAGACATGATGTTGCTTTATAATGGATGGAGTCAATCTCTCATACTTCCCTAACTGTTAAAGAAATAGTTCACCCAACTTCATGTCGCTCCAAAGCTGTATGCTTTTATTTTTGTCTGTGGAACACAAAAGGAACCATTTGAAATTATTTCTGACTTCCTGTTTTCAATGGCAGTACATAGTGACCAGTCTATCAAGCTACAAAGGCACAGCAAAAAGTGGTCCATATGACTCATAAACTATGATTGAAGTTGTCTGAAGTCATATGATAGTTTTTATATATGAGGAACAGAGTGGAGTTATGTCATTACTGACTCTTAAGTCAAACTGTATAGCATGTCAAATTAAATATGATGTCTACGGCACAGGTTTAACAATATTTGGTCACAAGATGTGAAAACCAACTCATTTTATTGACACCCAACCTGCTCATTTGACAGTAAATAATTATTTAAATTTTGATCTGTTCATGAAACAAAGCTACTGTGTAAGAAATCGTATTTTAAACTACTTTCACTTTTTTGCACCAGTGGTCACTGTAAATTATTTGAGTATGGAAAAATTAGTGTGAATATCTTTAAAAACGTTCCTTTTGTGTTCCACCTGCTGAAAAAAAACACCAAAACCAGTCTAAGCTGGTCTACTGGACCTCCAAAAAAGTCGCTAAAACCCGTCAAAAATCAGTCAAAAGACCAGCCTAGAAGACGACCCAAGACGCGCAAACCAGTTTAGGCTGGTGAAAGCTTTTTAGCATGGACATTGAGAAAATAACAGCATAGAGGTTTGAAATTACATGAGGTTGTAAATCAAGAAATAACAACATTTTCATTTTTGGGTGAATTATAGCAAGACTAATTGTTTCTGAGATAACAAACAACTTGATTATGATTGTTCATAATCAAAGAGAGAAAAGAAAGCTTGAAAAAACATTCTGCTATTGTTAGGATTACTTCTGAGGATTTCTGAAGAACTGTAACAAAAGTAATTTTGGCTTTGGTTTGGAAACTCGAAACAAATAAACCCAATCTGGACTGTCACCAGATTTGATAAGATCATCAAGATCATCAAGATAAGTGTCGATGCTGCCGGCGATCTCGTTTTGTCATCTACAAATTGATAAATGATCAATAAGTGTTTGAAGTGCCTGGATCATTGTCCTGCCAATCACCTCTTAAATTCACGCATGTATAGCTCTAGAGAAAGAGCGGGCAACGCCGTCAATCTCATCTGAACACGACCGCATCACACTACCATTACGAGATTCGCCCATCACCTCTTTTTATTCCGCCGTGTAATGATCATGAGAAAGCTTCCGAAGTCAAATGATCCCTGTCAGGGATAGAACGCCGTCAATCTCATCTGAACACGACCGCATCACACTACCATTACGAGATTCGCCCATCACCTCTTTTTTATTCCGCCGTGTAATGATCATGAGAAAGCTTCCGAAGTCAAATGATCCCTGTCAGGGATAATGAGAACAATAGAGAGCCACAACAAGAAAATACTGTCAATTAAATTAGCAACAGCTTCATCACAATGTTATTTGCTTTTCATTACATAAACAAACAATAGTCATTCTACACTTCAACTGTTTTAAAATTGCTTTTTGCAAAACAATCACCCTCACACAAACTATGAATTAAACACCAACATTAGCCAACGAGGTTGCGACTATCCTACGAATGTGAAATAAATAGCTTGTTTTGACACTTCTGTGGATTTTATGTGTAGTACTGTGAATGAAAATGGAGAGATAACTGCAAACAGACTCTGACTAGGGGGAAATCTACATACCAATCACCATCTTTTATACTAAGATGCCAGCATAAAAGTTTAAACGGTGGCTTTTCATCAACAGACCCCAGGGATCTAAGACAAATTTTCATTTCAAGCCATGACCTAACACACCTGATTCAATTAATCAAGTGTTAATTGCTCCATGTGGCATAATTGAGTTGAACCAGGTGCATGTTTACTGTAGGTTTTTGATAAAAAGCAATTTTCTCAATTGAACCTCCAGGACTGGAAGGAAAGAAAATTTACTGGTCTAATAGCAAACCTAGATCCTTGTTTGGGTACTAGAATGGAATTCCATCTGGTAAGTACAACAACAGATATAATGTGAGTCGCCACAGTTCTTTAAAGCACAGGCTATAATCAAAACCTATTGCAAAGAGTTTTAAATTCACTGAACCCCCCCCCACCACCACCCCCCCAGACAGTTTTACTTAATTTGCACTGAAGTACGAGTCCATTTGAAACGAAAATACTCATTTCATTCTCAATACATTCTTATTTAAAGACCCTATGAAATCCATGAATCCATGTCCATGCTGTATCTATACGCCTCACCATTCTTTGTCCAATCAAATGTACTCTAGTAAGAGACTGTGCCCTCTCACTGAATTATAAATACGACGTCTCTCAAGGTCCAATCACTGTTCATGACCGTGAAGTAAAAGCCTTCTGGCTATTCAAAAAAGGACGAGTCCTTCCTAATACACAACTTCCTTCAAACACAGGAAAGAAAACTGCATTCTCTAACCCATTTCATGGAGCCTTTAACTTCCTATTCAAGCTTTTACCATCTGCCTGTCTATTGTTAATAAAGCTGCACATGGATCCCAACGTCACTGAATCCTCATTACAGTCTGAACTGTGAGATTCAAAGCCACAATTATGCGTCACGATTGTGAGCTTTAAAGCCAAAATTTAGATTTTTGTTACAAGTATGAAAAATGAAAGTCACAATCAATTGTGAACTGTAAAGAACAATTATGATAAAATCAAAAATATTGGAAATAAAGTCATTAAAATATTATTATTATTTTAATTTAAGGCAGAAACAGGCTTACATTCATCACACACCTAGTGTACATTAGAGCGAAAGTAATAAATTCTAGTTAAACATGAGAAATGCCATCTGGAAGTATCTTCAAATGATACTGTTGTACAAATGCAAAATATCCCAGCTTCATGAAGATTAGATCTTATTATTGATATTACATTTTCTGAGAGTCTAATCCTGATCTGATTGTAGATATTAGGTTAAAGAGGGTTTCATCATCTACTCTACAGAAGAGTGGCCAATCAACACGGACAACACTAAACAGAGCACACAACTCTCAGTAGACATGAGACACAGCTGTTGCCTGACACATGCTGGCACCAGCAGAAGAGCCGGACGGACGGGGAGGAGCGCCACATCACTGGGAAGCACTGCTGAGGTGAGAGGCTGCAGTGACACGATGGCCTTCAGGAAATTGTTTAAACACACAGGCACACACTTAAATGAACACGCACATCCACATATAAATGCAAAAGCACACGGAGAGGACAAGCAATGCATCTCCTGGGAGTGAGTTCCAGCAGGGTCCAAGGCAGGGATGCATTGTGGGTAGTGAGGTCTGCTGCTGCACTGAGGAGGGGGGGGTTGATGGGCAAAGAAAGCACTAGGGTCATATGATAAAGAGACTGAAAGAGAGAGGAAGACAGAAAGAGAGAGGCACTTACGGACAGGTTGGGTTTTAAAGCTCTCAGGGGGGCTGCTCTCTCCTTCACCCTTGCCGTTGATGGCTGATATCTTGACCTCATACGTGGTCTCTGGCTTCAGCCCAACAATGGTGATCAAGTTGAGACCTGGTTTAGACAGATTTAGAGCTCCAATAAAATATCTAACATAAAAACATGGTATAAGATGATCAAATATGTCTGGTTTTAACAAAGCATATAAGAAACATTTCAAAAACTGTTAGATATGACATACATATACTAATTTGATTGCCTTATCAAATTGCACAGATTATCACAGCACATGATCTTCAGCATTATAGAGAATAGAGATATTTGTCTTAAGAGTTAAATAAAAAAATTCAGATTTTAAGGGAAAATGTGCACAATGGATATAGTGAGAAAAAAGGCATAACCAATAAGCCAAAATATTAAATAAACAAAGAGGTGAGTGGTGAGTGAAACTTTATCAATAATGGGGTTCCAATTCTGAGAAAGTCTGCAGGACTTTTTGTGGGTAGTTCTGATGGGCACAGATTCTGTGTGCTTTCCCAGAAGACCCTGCAAAGAATTTTGAGTTTCATATTTGTAGTAAAATACATTTTAGTTTGATCCAAAAACGATCCTGCAATAATAGTCATCACTCAGAGGTTTTCCCAGAGGTCCCCATGCAGCATCTTACATTTCATTTTTGCATTATATTACAACCATTTGTTTTCATCGTCTAATTGCATTGGACAAGAGTGCTGATATTTCTTTGTGTTGTTCCAGAAACCCTACTTTGGGTTCGTTTGAAACGATTTTCTTTGGCAGAACAAAAGTAAACAAAATAACTGGCCACATTTTGTCTAAAATGTGAATTATTTGATATTAACTTGCACTAGTATTCAAAAGTTTGGGGTTGTGTTTTTGAAAGAAGTCTTTCATGCACACCAAGGCTGCATTTATTTGATAAACAATCAGTAGTAACAGTAATTTTGTGAAATGTTATTATAATTTAAAAATATTTTCATGTACATAAAATATATATATATATTTTAAATGTAATTTATTCCTGTGATGGCAAAGCTGAATTTTCACCAGCTATTACTCCAGTCTTCAGTTTCACATGATCTTTCAGAAATCATTCTAATTATGCTGATTTGGTTCTTCTTATTACAAAAAATAAGAGTTGAAAACGGTATATTTTTGTGGAAACCGTGATACATTTTTTCAGTATTCTTTAATAAATATAAAATTCAAAAGAATCTCTAAATCTTTTGTAACATTATAAATGTCTTTACTGTCACTTTTGATCATTTTATTGCATCCTTGTTTAATAAGCGTATTAAAAAACACTGTATTAGTTTGCTGTTTATCACTGTTTTCAATTTACAACAATTTAATTCACAATTTAACTCCAAAAGTTCTCAATTTAATTCATTTGACTGAATGATTAAAAAAAGAACCAGTTCAAAAGAAAGATTCTCTCTTGCTCTCTCTTATCCTACATCAGTCATCAATCATATATCAATAATGACCAGAATGTGTTGTTTGTGTTTTTTTTTTTACTTGAGTCTGATGCATGACTATCATATGCCAGTCCAATGCGTTAGAGACTAACTGACAAATGGTTGAGCGATCAAAAAGCCATTGGCTGAGCAGTGTGTGTGTGTGTAGGTGGCTGGTAAGACTGCTTCGTGAAAGGCTGCGTTTGTATGTGTGAGGCTTGTTCTGACGCATGTCCTAAGGAGGTCTGGCAGAGCAAGCAGGCTGTCAGCAGTGAGCAAACTTACATCTCTCCCCCCCCCTGCCACCCCGAGAGACAGACAGTACCCACAGACAAACAGTGCACATGTCAGGCTGTGACAACTGCTCTGAGCACTCTTATTTAGCATTCAAGTGAACCCTGTCCCTTTCCTACATTTGCACATTCTATTTTTGGTCAACTCTGCATCACATTTCATGCTTGCCAAGCAATATGGCCAATGAAAGAGTTTTTATGGCAGTGGGGAAGGGTATTTTGCCACAATTTGAAATGGCTAGCAGCTGTGGAAAGTGTTTAGTTGTTATATTGACTACGGGAGGGTGGCTCTATGTGCGTCATAGACTGCTGTTTTCTCTTTTTTAAGTGTAATACAGCATCTTAACTAGGTGAGAAGCGACAGTGTGACAAGCAATAAAAAGCTCTTCCATGTTAATCAAAATTTCTGTCCTAACCAGCTGCAACAGTGACAAGCAAAACTACTGTACATGTTGTCAGTAGCATACAATGAAACCTCACTGCACCAAAATTCAGCTCCTCATGTACACTAAACCTCAAACTGCAGAGAGATTGACTGTGGCATTTAAGAAGCATCTGCTATCAAATGACAAATCTATGGAAGCCAATTTCTGCTTGAGTAAAATTAATTTGTAACTTTCTATTTTACACTTGTGACTTTTTCTTGATTGCAACTTTAATGTAATTGCAACTTTATTATAATTGTGCCTTCATATCTTTGTTGCTCATAACTGAATTGTGACTTTGTATTTTGCTATATGAATTTATCTCACAATTGTGCCTTTGTTACTCATAATTGTGACTTTATATCTCAGAATTGTGAATTTATATTGTACAGTGTGACTTTATATGTCACAATGGGCCTATTTCTTATTTATAACTTTCTTTTTTTCAGTACAAATTCTTCAAGTTCCTCAAGGATAACCATAAAAGGGCCATCTGTAGTACACTACGCAGTGTGTTGCAAGTGCGAGAAAGTGTGCAAACACACTGTTCTGATTGGCTGTGGTTTTATATTTTTACTTTCAGCACAGGCAGAAAAATAGCTTGTCTCTGGAATCTGCCTTAGGACAGTGTTTTTAAAAACAGTTGAACGAAAACAATATAACCAAGTTAAAACCCTTGCTCTAATACAATCATCTGAGCATCTGTGGTCATTTCTTGACTAAAATTAAAAAAGGGAAAAAGCATAATAGGACCCCTTTAAATAATTTTTTAAAGAAATGAGACTATCACACAATAAAAACCAATTGTGGTGACTCTAAAGCCTGTGAGATAGAAAAGAGGCGTCACTTCTGCACTGCCTCATCGCATTGAGACTAAATAATCACCTCACTGCCTTCCACACCATTTCACATCTGCCACACTTTACAGAGCACCAAAAATATCAGAGGCAGAGTCGCATTTAACTGTCGAATCTGCAGCCTGAAAATTATACCCTGCTGTTTCAATGCATCGTTACACAGGAAGCAACTTAATTATTGTAATTAATGTTATCGGTCAGTAATTCGAAAAAAATCAAAAGCGCACTAAAATTACACAAATTATTCTACTACACAACTACAACAAGTCATTATATACTTAGCACTTGTGGGCTGATAAGGGTGGGTAGGTGTGTTTATCAGCCCTATTTTGTACATAAACGAAGAACATAGAATACTGGAAAGAAAAAAACAGTAATTATTGTGTTCTCTCAATGCAATATCAACAGGCACTATTGCTATGACTGAATATCAAATGCAACAGAGTGCTGAAGTATACTGAAAATGAGCTCAGAAAGCAATTATTAGTGTCAAACACGTCTTTAGTGTTGAAACTTTAATGAGGGGGCATCTAAAGGCTGATGGGTTGGAGCAGTGATGCCATACCTCCAGGAAGCTGGCAGAAGGAGTGTTGTAGATCTTGACGTTGGTGGTATTAGCGCTAGGCAGCAGCAAGCCATCACGGAACCACAAAACGGAGGCGGCCGGGTGAGCAAGGGCCTCGCAGGTGATGTTAGCCGGATTTCCATCCCAGGTGAACACCGCCGCAGGGCCTTGGATCTTTGGAGCATCTGTAATTATACACAGTGTCAGCCAAGTGCAACCAACACATGGACTGTTCCAGAGAGAGACCTTGGGGCCACAAATATGATGGCTTCCAGCTGGCATACATTACCCATCATCCCCTAAACTACCTTACAGAATTGCAATTTCTGATATCTGCTCTATTGTCTGTTGTGATTGTTCCCCCCTGATGTTCACTTCGGCTAACAAGACTTTCCACTCCAGGATTGATCCAAGCAGTTGAGTCATCACATTTCCCATTAAGCTGTTCTGATAAGACACATATCCACTCAAATCTTATCGCTATCTCAGGACCACAGGCTGCAACACCGCTGCTGAGATAATGTCAGCACCCCAAAACATCATGTCTCTTTTTGGATGAAACGGCCAATGAAATCTTATCACAGCAGTGGTTGAAATGAATATTGGCAAATTTAAGGCATGAAATGATTCATGATTTCATGTGTGATTTCAGGAGAGCACGTTCTTACCATGTTGATGTAAGTAAACAGCAAAACTTTGCATAAAGATATTTACTGATTTCAAATGGCTATAATAAATAGTCTTTCCAACTGGCTGCCAGCCTGAGACTTCAGTTTTACTATGAAGCTGAGATCCATTTCAATAAAACAACACATAAAGAACCAAGCGAAAGAAAAAATGCATTTAAATGTAAACTTGAAGTAAAAGGTGGGAAATAAAAGAAATGCACAGTCATGCAAAACAGAAGGAGAGACTCTAACCCAGACCGTAAGTGTCTGAGCATGGGAGTGAACAATCTCATCTAGGATCATTTGAAGCAGACAAAGCACCTTTTCTTATCACTAATTACTGCAAAACGTGCGCTCAACCAAGACGCTGATTACTATAAGCCGGGCTGTGGCAAACTGCATTTCCACACAATTTCTATCAATTGCACATTGTGATGATATCTCAGGAAAGGGAGAAGATTTTTTTTAATCCAATTTTAATCCAATTAGACTTTCATTGCACTTCAAGCTTCACTCCCTCCCACTTTTCTAAATTAGATTGTGAGAATGCGTAAAAATGCGCAAGCAGATGAAAATAACTTTAAAGCTAGCTTTACTGTAATTCTCTACCTGGCAAATGGCACAAAAGTGCACTCAGCCAACTGCAGTAAACATAATCTGATAAAATAAGCGTTTGCTCTCAAAATTGAGTTTTAAGAATGTGAAGATGGCAGTATTTCATTTCATATGAAGAGCTCTGAATGTAAGAAATAAGCCCAAAAGCTATAAACACATTTGAGTATATGGCACTGTGATTTAAACTGAATTTTTGGTGGAAAGCAAGTTTAATTTGTTTGAAACAGACATTTAAAAAAGCCCTCAAACCACCAATTCCTTCAAAAATCATTTCTGTTGTTAAATCGAATCTTTTGTTATATACTCCAAAAAAAAAAAAAGAGGAAACAAAAGAAAAAGAAAACATAATACTGTTTATTTCACAAAAAAATAAAATAATTCAATGAATAACATCTGTCAATACTCTGCTGAAAAAAATTTGCTGGTCTAGGCTGGTTCATGCAAGTCCAAGGGTTTAGCTGGTGGATCTACTGTTCACTTGCAAAAATGAGCTGCTTTAGTTTCTGGCAAACAAGAAAGTCTTGATGATTAAGTTAGTTATTTTTGGGTCCGGCATCCATTTATTGGTGTTATCCGGTAGCCGACAAACAGAACATTGAGAAATCACAATCTGTCCACTACATTGAGCTTAGACACATTTGCCCTGAACACAACCAGAAAAATAACCTACAAAGGACAAAGAGAGAAGTTTGTTGTTTAGCTTACAGCGCACTTCCAGATACATGCTCTGGATGTCCTGACCAATGGAGTTGCGGGCAGTGCAGAGGTACTGGCCGGCATCGGTGAACTGCACGTATTTCAGAGTCAGAGAGGACACACGGGCATCACTGCGCACGATCACGTTACCATCCAGACTCTAGAAAAAGAGAAAGACAGAGTGAGAGTAAGAAAAAGATATGTAAAATGCATATATAAGTTAAACCTAAATAGCACTGCTAGAGAAATAAGGGGGTCCTTAAAGTGATAATTTTGCCATTATCTACTCAACCTCATGTCATTCCAAAACTGCATGACACAAAAGATGACATTCTGACGAAGCTTCAAAACAGACACGAAAGCACCATAAAAGTAGTCCCTCTGACTTTTATATATTTTAGATCTAAATTTAAGATTTTCAAACAAAATCCTGACATCCACACCATAATGAGAGAAGTAGCGTAGTCCATTTGTGAATGAATCATTCAGAGCTGTTTTGTGAGATGAATGAACTAATTCACCAAAAAGATCTGACTCAAAAGAATGATTCGATCAAACCAAGTCAAGGTTTTCTTGTGAAAAACAACTTTAGGTCAGTCATACAAGGTTCGGAAAGACATGAGGGTGAGCAAATGATGACATTTTTCATTTCATCATTGAAAAACAATCATGTCATTCCGCCACACAACTACAGATGCCAGTCGAAACGAAGAGGGACGGCATGTCTTTGTGTTTCAGGCTCTGTCTGGGGCTCTGGGGGGTATTTCAGAAGACAGTGAGGCAGGGATCAATAATGAAGTGGACCACACAGCAGGGGCCACTTTAAAGCCTTTTCTCCTCAAAGCCTGTTTGAACAGCACAGCTGGGACAATCTGCTAACAGTTTAACTCCCCGGCTCCATCCTGCACACATGCGCACACTCTTTAGCTTCTACTGCATTTAATCTGCTGCCCATCTCTGGTTACTGTGGTGATCTGAGATCCTATGGTTGGAGGGGTTTTGAATTCAGCAATCAATGCTAGTTCCAGCTGTTACAATGAAAAGCCGGCATGTTTTTCATCACTGCTCTGTGTTGTTTGCATTTCAAAGCATTTCTTGATAGTTTCACTAGTTTTCAAAAGCAACTAAAAAGGTCCTTCAGATCAGCTTCCAAAAGGAGCAAATTCACCTCATTAACCCATGATTACACATGCGTGGCTGACATGAAATACTGTTGGTAAGTTCAAATATTGTGCCGTGACATGCTAAAACTCTACTATTTTCTACAGCATTTTGCTTATTCTTCTATACTTCTTAAACATGCAGCCTTTATGACCTCATGCTAATTGAGAAACCACACGGAATATTTGTACTTTTCAAATTTCATTTGCCACATCACATGACCATTTAAAATGGATGTGAAGTGAAAAAAAGTTTTAAAAGGAAGTTAAAGGACCCACTGAAGCTGTAAGATGCCACAAATAAAATTCTTGTTTTCTCGTGAAAAATGAGAAATATTGTTTTTCCAAGAGTTTCACATTTTTTATTGTAAATCTTTAACCAATAAAACACAGGGCCAAACAATATCTAGCATTTCTTATATATAATAAATAAGGAAAAGGTTTTACCTTTTATTTGAAGTTGTCCTGTTTTAACCACAAGGTTAAAATGGAGATATCTCAAGCGGTATTCATTTAATCAAGAAATGTGTCCTTCACCATGTCTTATTATTTATAAGTTAATAGATCTTAACATTATGTGAGATCTCAGTTTTTTATTTATATACACATATATTTACAATAAAACATTCTTAAATTAAAGTAAAATGTATTTGGTTCTGCGTTTAATTGGTTACACATTTACAATTAAGCACCTTACGAATATAGGACTGGAAAAAAGTTAATGGACACATTATGTGTCAACTCTACATACTGTACATTACCCATACATTAGTGACTAATGCTCAACTTGGTAATTTTCAAAAGAACAAATCAAATGGAAATCCACATATTAAGGACCCTCACGTAATTTATAATAAAATCCAGAGCTTCCAACAGAAGCCTAAATATGCCACAAATTAAATTCTTGTTTGTGGTAATAAAAAATGAGAAAGTGTCCCCCAAGAGCTAAACATTTTTCTTGGCAGTACCAGCCCTATTCATAAGGTGTTTCACTGTAAATGCTTAACAATAAAATATAGGGCTAAAATACAATATATATATATATATATATACACAATTTGAGTTGAATTACTGAAATAAATGAACTTTTCCACGACATATTGAGATATTGAGATGCACCTGTATACACACACACACACACACACACACATATATATATATATATATATATATATAAATTAATGTATATTTTATACACACAAATAAAATAAAATGTGATAATTATTTTTTATATATAAAAATAAAACCATAAGGTTAAAAATGGAGATCTCTCAAACAATATTCATTTAATCAAGAAATGTGTCCATGAGTATGCCTTAATGCAAATGAATGGATCTTAACATTTTGTGAGATCTTAATTTTTTACCATTGAGGCAAAATATTTAATATTTTTACATATCTTCTTTATTTATTATTCCATATTTATAATAATTATAAATGATCCAATATTTATTTGGTTCTCCATTTAATTGGATACACATTTACTATCAAGCACCTTATGAAAGAAACAGAAAAAGCTTATGCATCAACTCTCCATATGTTACCCATACGTTCGACTTAGTGATCTTCAAAAGAAGAAATCAAACGGAAATCCACAGACTAATGACACTCATGTAATTTTACAAGAAAATTAATTGACTGAGCGAATATGACTTGCATATTATGACCCATGTTAATCAGAGAGTGCAGCCTCTTCCATGACACATTTAAATAGATTTATTAGTCATGCCAGCTGACACCATATTACTCAGTTAACAAATACAAGTTGTTTCTCCACTCCAGTGCTGAAGCCACCGGCCACGATATTCACATGGATACCCACTCCCATTCATTACGGATGGACATTCAAAGAGAAAAAGAGTAGCTGTCACACCTAAGCATGGTCGACATTCACAAGCAGTACTGAGTGCAGCAGAATGAATAAAATAAGCCCAGGAGAGCTGGATGTGCTCTACATTTTTCGTGCTTAGCGAAGCATACTTTGTTTTACCTGCACTACAATGTCACTATTGCATGTACATGCATACTGAATGAAATATGAGCATCGAATAACTCACCGCAAACTGCTCAGCATATGATTCACATTTTGCTTCAAGTGAAGGCACTGTAAAACGTGAACATTAGCGTGCACCTTTCATCAGTGTCACAGATGGTATCCCGACAGCATGAGAAGACAGCCGGGAAATAAGATGTTTCTGAAACCTGCAGTGGCACTTCATTTATAAAGTGCCTGTTCAATGGTCAGTGAGAAATTAGACTGCGGAGCAGAACGGAGTGTATGCGGTACTGAAATCCAATCAATTCACAAACTTGATTTAAGGTGTGGTGGCTTAGTCACGATCTGAGGGATTGAGTACTTTAAGCAACAACCAGGGTCTCGACCATAAATTCCATCCTGCTTGTGCCTCACGTTCAAAAGGCTGCAGGATTGTCGAGCGAGTCCCCTCCCGTTACATAGTAATTGACAGTAAGCTGCGTACGCAGAGTCTCTCCTGTTTTATGTGTGTACGTAAGGCCGGTCACATATAAACCTTCACGATTTCTTTGAACACTAACCTGGAACACTTCCAGCAAATCACATTGCACCTCTACCTCCTCGTCTGTTGTCAAACTTAGCAGGAAACAGTAGGGAGGGAGAGACAGAGAATGTTTCGGCTTACATTTCAGTACTGAAATGCAATCACTGGCCTGTGTGCATCTTATCTCACCTAATAGAGATTGTAGGAAGCCCCATTCTGCCCATCCGTTTCTCCTGAAAGAGCAGACAACCAACGGCAGAACAGAATCAGAGCTCACATTCAAGGTCTTTTGCGTGAAAGAAAAGGATTTCTTCTTTTCCCTCGGGAGAAAATAGTAGGTGACGGATATCATATTGTATGACTGCACTGACAAAGAGACAATGTAAGAAAAAAGCTGTCGCTGAGAAAAGCGAGTCAAACGGTGTCCTGCACTTCAAATTTCCCTCTAACAAGAAACTGGAAGAGCACTCTAGCACAGACAAGATGGATCACAGTGTGTCCAAATGCGGAAGAGAATAAATCTGAACTTTTGATTAAGATGGCCTATCTTGGATTGATGCAAGACATTGTTGAGATATAGCTGCCCTAAGGTGGTCTGCAGCAGTGAAAGTCTAGACAGTGAGCAGACCAGACGTTCCAAGATTGAATGCAAATTGAATTTGGTCAAGGTCACATACTGTAGTACATACATACCAGTATATGTATATATACAGTGGGTACGGAAAGTATTCAGACCCCCTTAAATTTTTCACTCTTTGTTATATTGCAGCCATTTGCTAAAATCATTTAAGTTAA